GGCGGGGGTCTCGGGGGTGGGAGCCTGGCTCCGTCCCTGTCCGCACCCCTCGTGTGCCCGGAGCGCTGAGCAGGGCTTCTCCCGGGAGGCCCTGCCTTTTCGCAAAGGTGGAGTAAGTTTCTCAGACCACCGAAAGTTGCCCTTGCTGCGCACGGGGCCCTCTTAATCTCCCAGGGTCTCGCTGGGGAGATTCTGCCGGTGGTGGTCGCAGTAGTAAAATTGGGGAAGTTGCGTTGAGAAGATTTTGCTTGGTGAGCATTTCTGCTGTGTCCGCTGAAAGGACGCGGTTTGGATGTGTCATGAGAAGTCTTTCCTCTGTACTAAGGACATACCTTATTCGATTCTAATTGCCTTTGTAGCACAATATTGCACTCGTTTGGTTTGTTTTGTTTCGGTGATTGCTGGGAAAGATCTTAAAGGCATAGGGGTATACTTCATATTATCACTGTTTTCAGGAAGTCTCCAGTGCAAGTCCAGTTGTTGCAGTGAATCAAAATAAGGAGGAAAAGACAAAAGAAAATGAAGCCGTGAACCAACATCGGAATGATGTAAGTGGTTATTTTATACCACGTAATAGTAGAAGAAGGAGTATCGTTTGACTAGGTTCAGAAAAGGTGCTGAAATCTGAAGTACTTTGCTGTATTTTGAAATCCCAGGTTTTGGTAAGAAGGCTTGCTATAGCAGGCATATAGAAAAAATTCTTATCTAAGAGCTTCATCCTGCATGTAATTAGTAGGGTTACTTACACCTTCTTAGGTATCTACTTTTTGAGGTAACAAAAGGATTTGGGCTCTTGGGAAATAAGGGTCAGGATACTGTGGTTCCTAAAGAGAGTGACGGTTCATGAACAGTTAAACAGCGTGCATGATGTCTGAAAGAGGATGTTGGCAGCACTAGCCATAGTTCAATAGATCTTAATAATTCACCTTATGCTAAACTAAAAGAAACTTCCCATGAGCTATCTTATTTGAATTTGATGCTTTGAATGGACTAGCAGAAGTGAGGGCTTGTTGGAGTGATCCAAACTTCTCTAGGATGTCAGCCAAATACAACTTCTGGGGCAGGAATATAGGCTGCTTTCTGAGGTCAAACTCATAAAGCCATTTAGGTCCAGATTGATGAAGGTGCATTGGAAAATTGGAAAGCCACTATAAAATAGTCAGCAAGTTTTATGGGACTATTCTGTGTATAATTATTTACAAATGCTTTACTGCTATTAGTATAAATTGTAGTACAGTGAAATCTGGTCTCAGTTGGAACCTCTAGGGATGCATGAATGCTGTGAATCCTTTTCTGTTTCTCTCACAAATATGTATGTGTGTGATCTAATTTATTTGTTACAGCTACAGTATGAGCCAAGCTTCATAGAAGACAGACTGAAGCTTTATGAAGCACTTAAAAAAGAACATGATGCTTTGCTAGCTTACAGAGCGGCCAACCAGAGCAAACCTATCAAAATTATTCTGACAGATGGAAAGATGACTGAAGGGGAATCTTGGAAAACCACGCCATATCAATTAGCTGTAGGAATTAGGTAACCTGCAGATTTAAGGAGTTGTACTTTTGTAGTGATAAATCTGTTACTATCATTTGTCTCTTACCTTGTTGCATAAAATACGTATGTCAGTGTCAGTGGATGATGACTCTCTTAAGTTGGTTTATTTGGAAAGTACTGAAACTTCAGCTTAATGCAGTAGAAACAGCTGGGTGAAGTTACTGTTCTGAGCGATGCTTGAGGTTCTATGCTGGGATCATAATGCTTGCTTTCAATTAAAAAAATGTAATGCTGAGACTCCTAGGAATTAATAGAGACATCTGAAATTTTGTGAGTTACCACCTAACAGGAGAAACTGTTGTTAGAAGCCGTCTTTCCTCCAGACCCCCAGTACTGAAAACCATTGAATGAAACCTTAAGGGTCTATACCTTAAAAGTAGAAAAGTGTTTAAGACGACCACAGAAACAAAAATTAAAGGTCTTTAGGTGCTACGAGATGTTGATGGGGTCTCACGGGGTTTAGAAACCTAAGCACTTTTGCAAATCTGAACCGAACTATTTTGGTCTCTTGTCATCGTTTGTGTTTTTTAGTCAAGTGTTGGCTTCAAATGCAGTCATAGCCAAAGTGAATGGTGAATTGTGGGACCTGGATCGTCCACTGGAGGGAGATTGTACTCTGGAGCTGCTTATGTTTGATAATGAAGAAGCAAAAGCTGTGAGTAAACACTCGCTGGTTTCTGCTTGAACTGGTGAAGCGAAATTGATTGCAGCATTATGCTTTTAAAATCTTGAATTAAAGAAAAAAAAATCCCCCAAACTATTCAAGTATTGTATTTGTCAAAGAAGATTAGATACTAAGTACCTGTGAACTATAAGTGAATAAAATCTTAGTGTTCTTTTCTTCCCTTCACTTTTACATCAACAGGTTATTTCTCAAATGAGATTGTACAGAAGGTCTTGATTTGTATGCTAACTTTGAAATAGTTTGATGTCTTTGAAGACGTGTTCTATGGTTTGATTCAGTGCATTTGAAGATCAGCCACTGAAAGCAACAGTGAGGCTGTCTTAAAGTTTTCTAAAAATTGTCCGGTATCAGATTTGAGTCATAAACAAAATCTACACCTCCTTGTACCAGCATTGTTTATTAGAAACTTGAGTAGGCATATCTTACTCAATTAAACTATGAATATACTTAGCGACACACCCAAGATTTATTTTTTTTAAGTGGGATTCAGTCTTAAGCCTATGTTTATCTTTATGCACTAGAATTAGACTTCATTTTGTCAAAGAAATATCCATGTGATTAAGCTTGTTTGAGACATTTCAGGAGCCTGTAAAGGCTTTATCTTGTAGCAGTGGCTATGAAGTGGTCTGAATTAATAGGGACTTAGAACATCAGACTGGTATTGATCTACTGGGTTGTTGACTCCCCTCTTCTGACATTTCAGGTAAAGCGGTTTACGTACTATTAATAAATATACTGTATGTGAACAATGGTAACTTAATTGGCTACATTGCTTTAGAAGCAGTTAGTATTGCATAGACTTTTCACTGACTGGCAACTGACTTATAAATGAACAAGGTACAATAAGTACTAAGGTGACACAATTGTGCAGAGGTATAATCATCTTTCAGACTGAAATACAATGGGGCTTTATTGCTACGTCTGCCTTAATGTTAATCATTTAGCATACTTCAAAATGAGAAAAGAAAATTGTTATACTGCTCAGAGAATTTAAACAACATTGATTCTAGTATATTTCCCATCTGCAGATACACCTCTGGTTTTTTTTTTTTTCTTTGTAGTTAGACAATGCCAATGACTCCATGACTTGCTCACCTGACTTTATTTGCAGGTTTATTGGCATTCAAGTGCTCATATTCTTGGAGAGGCCATGGAAGGTTATTTTGGGGGCTGCTTATGCTATGGACCACCAATTGAGAATGGGTTTTATTATGACATGTATATTGAAGACAGGTAAAATTTCAGTGTCTAAGAACTTTAATGCTCTGTATTGAAGCGCAGTACTAGAATTATTTTTGTTTGGTCATGTTTCTGCATGTTGAAAGTAAAATTGTGTATCTAGTATGGGTTAAAACTGACAGGTTAGTCTTCTATGTATGCATATATTGAGTGTGTGTGTTTATTTTTAAATAAACAAGAGCTGTGTTCAGACACCTGCTCTGTTAAGACTTGCAGCTGTTGAATGTTCTGTGAAAAAAGTAGAGTGTTTGGGTAAAACTTTCTGAAGTTCCTGGGAGATATAGGAGACAGTTTCCTGGAAGAATCATGGGAATTAGGTTTCAAAGTGCCATAGTCGCTTGTAGAAATGGCACGTATGCATGTAACTCATATAGGTGTTTACTACTTTCCTAATCCTTGTGCACAGCTTTACAATTCTGTTTTTTCCTTGTTTATCTTTCTGTAGTCAGGGAGAATACCAAATCTGCATTGGCTGATAAACTAGCTCTTGCAGCTGGGTTGAGCCTTTTTTTTTTTCTTCTTTTTTCTGAAATCATTTATACTTTGAGCTACAGATCTTCCAGACATTTAAGCATGTCAAAGACTGTTCTAGGAGTGATTGCAGTAGGTTTGTCCAGGGTGATACCATTTGTGTTTCTGAGTTTAGTGTCTGAAAGTGCAGCTGATAGTAAGAAACTAAGAAAATACTGTGACAAATCACAATGACACATCCCATGTTTTTCAGATTAGACTACTAGAAAGTGGTCACTTAAAAAATGTGAATATTAAAATAATTAATTTATATTACTTTTGCCTGTGTCTTTCTGTTTAGAGGTGTATCTAGTACTGAATTCCCACTACTAGAGAACCGCTGTAAAAATATCATAAAAGAGAAGCAGGCTTTTGAAAGGCTGGAAGTCAAAAAGGAGATCCTGTTAGACATGTTTAAGGTAAGTCTTTGAAGTAGCTGTGATTCTGGTACAATGATCTTTTAAAATGTAACTGTTATAAAATACTGCATCTAACTGACTCATCAGAAAAGCACCTGTCTAGTAAAACAAAGAAAAAGAATAGCATCTTCTTCCCCCTCTCCATATCCCTCTCAAGTGTTCAGGAGGTTTTCAGGCAATAATAAAAACAATTTCTTATTACACTAAAACACCTTAAGCTCAGTGAGATGACCAAGAAATTAGTACACAAAAGGCATACATTCATTCTGGCTCACTTGCAGAGACAAGTCAAAAAAGGCTTTGTCCTGTAGTCCTCTCCTTTATACAGTGAATATTACCAGTCTCACTGCACTGTGTTTTAATTGCCGTTCAGAAGTGCTTTGAGGTGTTCAGGTGGTAATCACTATGCTTAACACATCCTCAGGGAGATTGAGATATTTTTGTCTCTTTCCCCTTTTGTTTTATAACCCTTCTGAAAGGATGTTGAACTTTTGCATAGGTTTGTGTGATCATGCCATTTTTTAAAAGTTGTGAGTGTCTTTTACTGATGCACTTGCATTATTAATATATAATTTTAAAATAGAATTTTATTAGTCATTTTGTTGATGTTTCTGACTTTTCATGTTTCCCCACACAGTACAACAAGTTTAAGTGTCGTATCCTTAATGAGAAGGTGAACACACCAACTACCACAATATACAGGTAAAGAAAATTAAGTTAAAAGGTATGAAGAAGTATTTCTGTAGCTCGTTTAAATTGAGAGGAGAAGAAGGAAATTTTTTTTTTCTTCTAACTTTTGAGTACTTGCGTGATTGGGACTTTAAGTTTGCAATTAATATTGCTACTTATGTAAAATCAGATCTTTCTCTGCTGGGACAAATTAGGTCTCAGTTTGTGGACAATGGCAAATCCACTTTTCACTCATTCACTCTGGTTTCAGTAAAGAGATTAAAATGAGTTACCACCCATGACACTGAATTGCTGGATAATGGGTAAAGCTAACTCGTAGCTTAGTGTGGGGTGAGGAACCAGTTCGTTCAATTGTCAGGGATTAAACCAGTTAGTTGGAAAATGGCAAAACCTTTTTTTTTTTTTTTTTTTTTTTAAATTTCTGTTTGGTGTGCATAGTTTGAAATCTCCTGGGCAACTTCAACAAAGTTTACATATGGAACTATATGAATTGCTGAGTACGTTATGATGCTCTTGATAATGGATCAAGTGTGCTGAGTATTTACTGAGTGAATACTCTGCTTCAGGTAGAAGACACAATTACATTTAAGATGCACTGAATTTGCTGAGTGTTGCGTATATGTACTTCTTAGTGTGTTTGTACATGTCAGGCATTAATTAGTGACTGTACTTAAAAATGTTGGAGTGTTTTGAAATAAACCCTTTTTTTTTGGTGTATAGATGTGGTCCGCTGATTGATCTCTGCAGGGGTCCACATGTGAGACACACTGGAAAAATTAAGGCCCTTAAAATATTTAAGGTAAGTTTAAATTAACTGTGCATTAAAACTTAACTAAACTGTGGGTCAGCTGATTTATTTATGTATTTATTTCTCCTGAAGTGATTATGCAAGGGTTCTTTGTGTTGTTTTCTTTTATTACTCTGCAAATAGTCCTTCATTTATTTCCCAGCTCCCATTGTACAAGTAGAACTACAGCCTTTCATCATTCATCTGCTTTCAAGGTTTACTGATTCTCGACCATCACAATAGTATATCAGTGAAAGTTAACAGCATCTTTTTTGTCAGAGTATTAGTGCAGTGACATGCATGCTTAGACTGTAATGAGGAGCACTGCAAAAATACTCAAGCTAGTAGTGACTAGATTAGCTGTGGAACCAATTATACCATGCAAAGTAAAGTGCAGTGCCTAAGCTAATGTGGCAGTAGTGTGCTAGCATTTCCAACCAGCACTGCACTTTGTAATACAAATGTCTTAGTTTGAGTCTGCACTAGCTGTCATATCTGTGCACGATGTGTGTGTGTGCACTCTGTTCTGCAGTAAATGAACATCTAAGATACTCATTGGGTCAGAACTAGTATTTTGCCCTTGTAAGATGTTATCTTTCAGGTACAGGAGGTAAAGCAGACCCTGCCACATCTGCAAGTGCTGCTGTTTAAAAATGATGTTGCTTACGGGAAAGCCAGAGACAGTGCTTGCAGGTGTCTCTGGTTATGACGTAGTTTATGTTACTTGCAGATGCTAATTTTGGTAACCTTATTAGACTGACCTCACTGGAATATTCATCATAGTTGCTTTTGCTGGCTTCCTAACTGAAGTTTATGGAACAATGAGTTCTGGGGATTAAGTGGTAGATTGTCAAAACAGCTAGGATTTAACTGTGAGAGTGAGTTAGCTTCGTTTTGTCTTTTGTGTTTCCCTACTGCATTATGTTTTGAACATAAACAAGTGCTGCTTTTTTAGAAGATACACTATGAGATGATAAAACATGCCACGGTGTGAGTTAAAACAAGGTACCTAAGTAGAATAAAAGCTTGGCTGGACCAGTCACTTCTGTTTGTCTTCTGTATTTGTATGCTGAATAAAAGGCAGTGCCAGTATCTTTGTATTATAAACAAATGGTGGATAACTGCATATAATTCTTTTCTCAAGGAAAAAAATCATAACATTTGAATGCATTAGTGTTTATTCCTCCTTTCCCTGAGATTATATAATATTATCTTTAAGTATGGATTTTGTGCATCAGAGTTCCTCTACATATTGGGAAGGAAAATCTGACATGGAAACTCTGCAGAGAATATATGGAATATCCTTTCCTGATAACAAAATGATGAAGGAATGGGAAAAATTCCAGGAAGAAGCCAGAAACCGGGACCATAGGAAAATTGGAAAGGTACACTATTTCACTGTCTACTTCTCTTTTATGTTTCTGTAGTAGAATTAATTCTCTTTTATAGTTTGGGGTTTTTTTTCCATTTTTTGACAGTTTGAATGGGAGCCAGTTCTATAAACTTCTTGGTGTCAGTTGTATTTTAAAATTCTAATTCTACAAACTCAACTTGTCACTTGCATACAAATGTTAAACTAATGTTGGGATGAAGTAATGGGGTAGTCCCTTGGTTTAGGAAAGTATATCTTAAACCTTTTAATGTAGAGTCCTTTCAGATCCTACTAATATTTCTCATAGAAGAGAGAAATTACTGAAAATTGTACAAATAATATTGTTTGGTCATTCTTCATTATAGGCATAAATAAGGTAATACTTAATATTATTTAAGTATTAATTAATTATTATTTATTATTGTTAATAATTATTATTAATATAATTATTATAATTATTAGTATAATTATTACTATTATTAATTACTTCTGGCTGTGTCCCCTCCCAGCTGCTTGTGACCCTCCAGGCTTCCTGCTGGCTGGGCATGAGAAGCTGAAAAATCCTTGACTTAGTCTAAATATCACTTAGCAACAACTGAAAACATCAATGTGTTATCAACATTCTTCTCATACTGAACCCAAAACATAACACTATACCAGCTACTAGGAAGACAATTAACTCTATCCCAGCTGAAACCAGGACAGCCGCAGTGCTGAGCTTCTGTTTTTGAGACAAAATTCTGATAAAGAATGACTGGCTTACAGGCTTCAGCCATTAACCCTCAGACGTGATGGGTGTATGCTTAATTGCTTTGGTTACTGAAGGTAAGATTGGTTAAGGCTTCAGGATTTTGAGGAAATGTGTATTTACATAGTCACAGAGTCAAATGGAATTCTAGTGTTACTACAAACTTCTAAGAGTAAGAACTACAGATAAATTAACTGCTGTGGCTGAGAACTTGTAGACTTCTAGAAATCATCTTGTTGCTGTAACATTGCATTTTTTGTGAACAGAGTCCCAACGTGTCAAGTAGTCATATTCTGCAGTTCCATCTGAAGTGGTGTTACAGCATTCTGTTTTTAATTTATCTAGGAGCAAGAACTCTTCTTCTTTCATGATTTAAGTCCTGGAAGCTGCTTTTTCCTCCCCAGAGGTGCCTTTATTTATAACACACTCGTGGATTTCATACGAGTGAGTATATACTAATGTAACTCCTAACAAGCTTAATATCAGTTGTTGATCTTGGGTGATAGGCCACTCATAGCACAGAGCTATGCACAGAAAGAGAAGCATCTATGTATGTAAACATATAACTGATTTTCACTATGATTATACAGATCTAACCTTTTTGAAAATAGGGCAGAGTAAAATATCGAGCTGTGCTTTTTCTACTTGTGCAAAACCTACATGTGCAGTAGTCCTTTAGTCTCTGAGTAAATTGCCATTGTAAGAGCACAGTTAAAAAGAATCAGGCTTTTGCTTGTCAAAAGCTCTATCACCTTTTAAAGGTTGAATTTGTTTTATAGGAAGAATATCACAGGCGTAATTTTACTGAAGTTCTATCTCCAAACATCTTCAACAGTAAACTGTGGGAAGTTTCAGGACACTGGCAGCATTACAGCGAAAATATGTTCTCGTTTGAAATCGAGAAGGAAACTTTTGCCCTTAAACCGATGAATTGTCCAGGACATTGGTTTGTACTCTCAACTGAAAAACTTCTTATTTTGCTATATTTATCCTTTGTGGGGTTGAGGGGAAATAAATGGAGTAGTAATATATATTATCATGTATGTTTACAATAGACTACTAAGCCACTAGTATGTCCAGAGAGCTCCTCTGACAGTGTCCCAAAGCAGACCAAATACAATTCTTGGAGGAGGATTTTCCAGTAAGTCTGCACTAAGTGAGCTAGGTTTGTGCATTCTAATACTAGTCTGTACCACTAGTAAATACAAGTAATGTTGGATAGAGATGGGCATCAGATGTGGTGTACCAAAAGAAGGTACAGATGAACCAGTCTTGATTGTTACTCTCAGTGGTTTTTCTAGGTGGTCTTTAGCAATACATTCTGAGTGCTGTACTTTTCTGTTTGCCTGCCTTTTAGGATGCAGGCAACGCGAATGAATAAATACTTAAAAATGTGATTACTGTCTGTACTGATCTTGGTTTAGTTTCTGTGTTGTCTTAAATCTTCTATAAGCAGGATAAAAGGAAGGTTCTTTCATGTTCCTTCTAGCTTGATGTTTGCCCATCGTCCACGATCCTGGAGGGAAATGCCTCTTAGACTTGCAGATTTTGGGGTTCTTCACCGAAATGAACTCTCTGGGACTTTAAGTGGCTTGACTCGTGTAAGGCGCTTCCAACAAGATGATGCTCACATCTTTTGCACAATGGAACAGGTGAAAAAAACCAAACCCCAAAAAACAACAACAACCCTCCCTCCACCAGTCAACCAAAAAAAAAGAACTCCTTTCCTTCCCAGTGCAAACCAACATAAAACAAGAAAATAATCCCCAAAGTATTTCAGCTCTAGCTTCTTCTATTGTGTTGCTTGGTAGCATAATGCCGCTGTTGATGGGGTTTTTGGTAGGTTTAGGTACTTCCTTCTTAGTCATCTGGTATTCTGTATTTCTTAACCTTCTGCAATATTGCTGAAGTTAATAGCCTGTTGAGCTTAGCTTCTCTGTTACAAGTTTCTCAAACAGCAGTGCCATAAATTGTGTTATTTATTTTTCTCTGCAAAATTAAAAAATGCTTATGTCAAAAGAAGAAAACAACATTATTTGAGGGACGTTATTGAATGTGAATTACATAATAAGATTTTCTGTATAGAATTTCTCCCTTTAGAAAGATACATTGGGCAACTAAACCCCAAAAGGTAAAGTCTTTTGCACCTCCCATCTCACCCTGCAAAGAAAAAAACCTGTTGACTGCATTTTGTTTTCCATAGTAGTGCTGAATAAATACTTCGTCAGTAATGCCATAGATTTTAGTGGAGCTATGTGAATAAATTGATGTACTCTTGTCAAGTCTGACTCATGCAATTTGGCTCCAGAAGCCCAGGCTTAACAAGAATATTACTTTTGTTGCCATGCTTTGAAGCCACAACACCGGCGTTCTCTCTTCACCCATTACCTACATTTGGGTTTGTGGGATGTAATTTTCGTGTGATTTTTAGTGGTGTTTTTTGGTTTGGTTTTTTATTCAATGGACTCGCATTCTGGTTATGAGCAATTCAGTAAATCCAATTATATTTTTATGTAAGTAAATTTTAACTAATATATTTTGTTTATGCTTAAGATTGAAGAAGAAATTAAGAGCTGTCTTGATTTCTTGAAGTCAGTGTATGCTGTCTTTGGTTTTACCTTTCAACTACATCTTTCTACAAGACCAGAAAATTATCTAGGAGAGTTAGAGATCTGGGATCATGCAGAAAAGGTAAGTCATTTAAAAGCAAACAAACCAACCCGTTAATATTTTTATTTGCAGGGGTGGATATTTAACCAAGTTCTTTCATGTTGAATAGGGAAATTAGTGAAATAGCTTAAATCAGATGCTAAATATTGTCCTTAGTGGAAATGCTCGTTGAAAAACTTCATGTTAAATGTGAAGTGTCTGTATAAAATGAGAACTTTCTGATTCTTACTTAGCCCTTTATCTTGAACTGATTTGATTTTTATTAATCTTTTTTTCTGATTAATCACGACATTTGTACAAGGAACTACTCATTTCAAGATTATTTATCATAAATGACTAAATGCTTGAACAATAGTCCTGCTGCCTGTTGACTCCCTTTGTATTTCAAAGGCAAATGCTTTGACTTGCAGTAATGAAAGGCACTGCTATACTTTTTGAAATTATTCTCTCATTTTTATGTTTAGCAACTTCAAAACAGCTTGAATAACTTTGGAGAGCAATGGAATTTGAATCCAGGAGATGGAGCATTTTATGGTCCTAAGGTTGGTGAATCAGCATTTTAATACAGCTTTGGGATGAACAAGAATAAAGACAGAATGCAGGCAAACTGTATTTAGTAACTGTGTTATTTTGCTTCACAGATTGATATTAAAATCAAAGATGCTATTGGCAGGTACCATCAGTGTGCTACTATCCAACTTGACTTCCAACTACCCATTCGATTTAATCTTACTTATGTTGGGTGAGTGGTTAAGCTAAATATCTTCCTCTTTTAAATGAAATAATTAAAGAAAAAAAAAAAGATTACTTTCCTTATCTGTAATTCCCATTAAACTGATTTGTATTAATGATCTGTTGCTCACCTAACAAGTGATTAGCCTGTATATCAGTAGCCTGGTTAGGAGGGGAAACATCCCCAGTGAGTAGAGGACTGAGTCACAAACTTGGAAGATATTTCCTCAATGTAATGATAGCTCACTTTAATTGTAAATGCTACTGATTGGAGGAAAACTTCATTATCTGTCTTGTCTGCCAGTTCAGAAGACAACTGATCATATATAATGCTAAAGAAAACTCAGCTGAGTCAGTTTTCACTTCCAGCCTAGTCACTGTGTCTCCTTTGAAGACATTGCATACAAACTCAAACATGTCTTAGGGAGGTAGGAGGTTTGTAATAAGTACTTCATTCTTTTTATCAGATGAAGTTAGTTAACTTTGAGCATAAACCAAATGTGAACAGTTTTTAATGAAAATCTCACTTTGGCTTCCAGCTAGGAAGAGGGATATTTATCCACTGAGTGAATTAATCTTGGTAATCTTAGTACCATGTTGACTTGAACACACATTTTCTGGGTTGTTTTTCTTGCTATGTTTGCTTTTGCATGTTATGAAGAGTTTGACAGGGAAGGTAGAATAAGAATCTTTGTTATTTTTTGGTCTTGCTGCATGTTCTACACTAGATGTCATAGCTCTTTGGTAGGTGATAACACTGTTACGAACAGCAGCTGGCTTTTTTTTAATCTTAAGGAAAGAAATGGCCAGTAAGGGCAGGTAAGATCCTGTACAACAAAACAAAAGCAAGACATAACAGAAAAGAAAGAGCGAGGAAGAACATAAAATATTAAAATGCACAGAAATGGAGCTGCATCAGTCGAGTGTCTTTTCAAACTTAGGAGTTTGTGCCTATGCCATTAGCTACAGGCATGATTATTTTAAGTCTCTATGATTATTCAGTATTCCTTTAAAAGCCCAGGGGACTTAAATAAAGTACATTTTTAATAAAACCAGTAGATTTTGCCTAAGTATAGATAACTGCATTTTGTCTTTCCATGAAAAGTAGAATCAAAAATATTAGTAGGATTATCTGTGTGTGAGCCAAGTGATTTTTTTTTTTTTTTTTTTTTTTTTAAACTTGACTTACTCTTTTTCAGTAAGGATGGCGATGATAAGAAAAGGCCGGTGATTATTCACAGAGCTATTTTGGGATCTGTGGAGAGAATGATAGCTATTCTAGCAGAAAATTATGGAGGAAAATGGTATGTGGCACAAATGCAGTTCTAAGAAATGTTTAACAACATAGAAAATACAGATCCTCCCTAATGTCCTATATATTATAATGCAAAATAATTTCCCTAGAATTTTCTCAAAATTAGTAGGTAAGATTACAAGCAAAGAAGTCTAATTTTATGGTCTGAGTTGTATGATATACTTTTATTAATAGTTCATTATTAGAAATGCAGTTTTATGATTGCAGGAAAAATTATACAATAAAGCAGAAATAAGAATTGTAATTGAATATATATGCTGCATTATTCTTGTTCCTTTTTTCTTAAAAATCATGTTTTTGTACTGGCAAGATGTTAGACATACGTAAAGCAATTATTTACACAGACATGAATTAGTCCTAATATGTGAAATATTTTTTAACTTGTAAGATGTATTGTTTGATCTTGAATAAGCTCTGAAGATATTTCTTCATTAATGTATTTAAAGTATTAAGGAAGACTTAATTCTTACTTTCAGCCACTTATCTGTCTGACTGTCCATGTTTCACTATAAAGTTATTAATAAAAGTGGAAATTATGTGGAAAAAATAGAATTCTGTCTAAAATTGTGAAGTCAGCTAGGAAGTGAACAGAATATGTCATTTCACTGGAATCAATCTATTTGCCATTTTATGTGACCTTGAAAAGAGAAAGATAACATACTATCTAACAACCTTAGCTAACAAATAATTTTATGAAGTAAAGAAATTATTGTGGAACGTGACTATGGATATGAATGCAAGTGTAAAATGCACATTTATTGCATATTTTTCTTGTTCTGCTTGCCAGGCCATTCTGGCTGTCTCCACGGCAGGTCATGGTTGTGCCTGTGGGACCTGCTTCTGAAGAGTATGCCCAGCAGGTGAGAGTAGGGCCTTCCTTTTTATAGTAGCAAGCAATTTCAATAGCTCCTGAAGTACTTGTCCTAGAACAAAGAATGAATGCTTTAATAATTTTGGAGATGTATTTGGGGGGAGAGGTAAATTTTTCCATATAGTCTAAAATTTGTATAAGCCTGAGAAAGGGATATGTAACTTTAAGTGTTTTGAGTTGTGTTATTATGTACAGACTTCAGTAATTATTAAGGGAAAAAACGTTCTGGGTGACAAACCTTGTATACTAACTAATGTTTCATTACAGAACTATCTGTTTAAAGTAGGGGCAGAGCCGGTTTCTTCCATTTCCCAGCATGTATACTCCTGACTGCGTTATATTTGACCATGGTTGGTTTTTACCCCTCTCCCCTGCTTTTCTTTGAATGCAAGCATAAGTGGTTTACTTCCTTCTCCTCTTTCTCCTTCCTCAGACTGAGGAAACATTTTTGACATTCAGGAGTGTAGCTATCTGAGGAGATCAGCAAATACTTGATATGGATGTTGCCTCGTATTGTCTTCCAGCTGGAGTCCTGCTAAGCCCTCAAGCGTGTGTGCAGTTTTCTTTCAAATAACTTCATTGACTTCCGTACGATTCAGGAGAGCAAAATTATGCACATACATGAATTAATTATTGGAAGAGATCAGGGATTACAGCATGTACCAATTTATGTTGTAGAATATATACTGTAATATTAAGTGAAAGTGTTTTGGTTTTTTAGGTTTGCAGCAAATTTTTTGAAGCAGGATTTATGTCAGATGTGGATCTAGATCAAAGTTGCACATTAAACAAGAAAATCAGAAATGCACAGCTGGCCCAGTATAACTTTATCTTAGGTAATTGCAGCATCTTACGTTTCTGAGTATCATTTAAGTTTTAATTTTGGGCATAGAGTTTGTCTAGACTCTCATTTTGTAATGTAGGTAGGCATTTTAACATTGTTTGTGATATGTCTTGCAGTGGTTGGAGAAAAGGAGAAAGCAAATAATGCTGTCAACGTGCGAACAAGAGACAACAAAGTTCATGGAGAGATTTCAGTATCTTCTGCTATTGAGAAACTCCAGAAATTTAAGAGTTCACATATGCCAAATGCAGAAGAAGAATTCTGATGTTGCTGTTAAGGAGAAAAAAAAAAAAAATTATTAGCTGCCCATGTGAAATCGTGTTTCTTTCCTCCTGTGCAGCAGTAATGCCCATCTGAGAGAATTTTCAGTTAATGGATACACAAAATAAGCAAATGTAGCAATGTTGATGCTCCAGGAATAGAATGAGAGGACAGATGCAATTGCCAACTCCTTTAACAATCCCACGGGATTCCATTCTGCGTGAGTTGCAGAATACGTATTTAAGAAGTCCTACACCTCTGCTAAAATATGTGGGGTTTGCTGTGGAAATAAATCAGGGCTGCATGAAGTCAAGGAACGGGAGGCTGGGAAGCGTACTGGTTGCTGCTGCAGTTGCTGAGCTACCTCAAGTCACGTAGCAGTTGCATAACTGACGTGACCTGGAATCCAAGGCTTGGCAGTTGGTAGGTGCATCAGGAGCATTTTGGTTTAGTTTTTTTGTAACTCCAGATTATATAATTTTTTTCTTTGGGGGGGTGGGGGAATAGCTTGATTCTCTCTGAATTTATGTTCACAGGCTACAAATACATTGGTGTCTTTGTTGGAAATCTCAGTGAAACGAGGCACTGTTTGAACTGGTGTGGTAATTGGTTGCTGTAAAGGTGATTGCCAAGAATGAAGTTGAATTACCATACCTGTGTGTGGAAAATGCTTTATTTTTTTCCCGTGTTTGCTGTTGATTTGGCTTTTTTTCTAAAACAAACAAACCTTAGAAAAAACTTCCCGTGTGTGATTTACTGCTGTATTGGTGTGGGATACTGAGAATGCTGAAAAGGTGCAGGTGACAATTTTCATTTTAGAAGATGGCATGTGGGAATTTATATTGGCCATATTTATGTGACTTGTTTATGCTTATAAATTCTTTTTAAGTTACTGTTGGCAGGCAGTTGAATTGGATTTTTTGGAGAGATGAATTTTTACCACAATCTTTTTTTTCCACTTCATGTTTTTTAGTTACAAAGCTTAGATAGTGTTAAATGTGTTACTCAGTTACCTAAGCTATGCAACTGTAGCTGTTGTGATTTAAATATCACTGAGATGAAGCAGAAAATACTATTTAGTGCATAAACGTTATACAAATACAAAGCTAGTGTTCTTCTTCTGCCTGACACTTGTACAGACTTGTGTTCAATAGGCCTATTTTTGGTTTTGCATTAGCTTGGTTTTGTGTATCTGTTTTTACCAACTGATTATCCCCTGCTTTTGAAAGAAAAAAAAAATATGGAAGGAACAAGTGTTGGGAAAGCTTTCTGTTCCACTTTACAGAATTAACCTGGGGTGTGGAGGGTGATTTTTATATATATTTATTAATAATAATATATTTTTATATATAAGATACCATATTCTTCTGGACTACAGCCTTCACGATACAGGTGTGATGTATTCTGACTGCAGAATGAAAACTTTCAGAGGTGGTGGTGGGTTTTTTTTACGGTGAATTTCGAGGTTTTGCAGATTTAAGTCTTAACTTCTTAGCACGTATGTATCTCTGCTGTCGCCATTTAAGTTTTCAGATGACCTGCAGCAAGGAGAGAGGTCACTGAAGGGTGTAAGTTAATAGAAATACTGGAAGTTAGCATTTTCTGCAGGGAGAAACGCGTAGAGAGGACAGGCAGAGGACGGAGGGAGGGAGGCGAGGCCTAGGAGCGGTAGCCTGAACGACAGGGTGCTGAGTGACAGCTCAAAACATCACCGAGGTCGGTAGAAGCAGCAGCTGCGTTTTGTGGCCTCAGTGCCCGA